TAATCACCATAGTCTCTCTGAAACAAAAACATAGAAATCATTAGGAACTGGCTAAAGAGAACACTCAATTACCCACCCCTACATGCCCCTTAGTATCCTAAGGTTCTTAATTGGGTCGCATGCAGATCCGGCGCTTTCAATAGTATAGGCCCAATACTACATTCCACACCAACTTGTAGTCACCCCAAGTCCTCCTAGAATCCTAATTCACAAATACTCTATCCGTCACGGATATCAAACTACTCTCTCAGTAGATTCCTCAAACGAACACCAAGGTATCTCTCCTAGATTAATCTTTAACTCAAAACTCTCTATAAAAGATTCATGCCATGTACCCCTACTCAGCACACATATAGAGCAATTAACAGATAACGTCAATCAATAGTATCCCCCTGGTCTAAGGCATCATGAATCAGGAAACTCTAGCTCAAAATTCCTGAAATACCTAGCCTATCATCTATCATGTAGCTCTAATATCTCATAAGTATCTCATCTCGTAATATAAACAAGTAAGGGTATTTTGGGAAATCACCGTTCGGGCTATGGCTGATTGTACACACTGCTTCATCTCGTTTCCTCTTAAAATCTTTTGCTAGGTTATAAAATCATTTCTTTGTAGAAAAACTCCTCAAATGCTCATTTTGAGTCTAGACATACCCAAGGGTACATCCGAATCCCTCAAACCAAGGCTCTGATACCAACTTGTAACACTAAATTTTCAAATAAAATTTTCATTTTTAAATTAACACAAAACACACTTTAGCATTTCTCAAACCCAATTTGTAACTTTTTCAAACACAAAACAGTAGATTGTTTGTCATTATCCTTGAATCCTCAAAACACAAATCAACTAGCTGGTGTGTACAATCATGTTGGCACCTTCCTGCGATCATGAGATGTACCTGAAAGACATTTCACACAACATTGTAAGCATAAAGCTTAGTGAGTTCCCCAAAATACCACACCCAAATAATTAGCCTCTCAATGCTATAACTCGATAAGGATCCTCCGTTCATTTGTCTAAGTGAAGACCCTCCGGTCTCACAGCTTGGGTTCGACCCTCTAGACTTACAACTCAGCTTGGACCCTATGGTCCTAACTCAATAAGGCACATAATAATATACAACATAAATCACAAAGACAAAATGCATAATATCACATAAATTAGTATAGGAGCATAAGACCCTCCGGTTAATAACTCAAATAAGACCCTCCGGTCACACAATATTACCACTCAAGGTTGTAGAACTCTTTGCTCGGTACCTGTTCGGCCGACTACCGAGTAGCGAGTACTCGGGAGTACTCGCGAGTACTCGAGGATACTCGGATTGGTTAATACATGTAGAAATATTTTTTGGGGAAATTATATATGTCAAAATTATAAGTTAAAACCATAAGTTGATTGAAATATATAACAAAATTAGATAAATGTGAATACATAAAAACTGAAAAACACATAATGATCTCACTTCGTAAGTAATTATTGAAAATTTAAGATATATATATATATATATGTAGTAATAATCACATGTGTGTGTGTTAAATAATAAATCATTAAGTATATTATACATATTAATCACTGAGTTGATCGAGTTTTACAACATTGTTCCGTTCAGTAAGGGGCCGATCGGGGAGTACACGGTATTTTGTAACTCGCCTTGGTAAGGGGCCGAGTAGCGAGTACTTGGAGGAGTAATCGGCCAAGTCGGTGAGTTTTACAACACTTGTATAGTGAGAAGTCTCACCTCGCAAGTAATGCAAGTGTGTCTCGTACTTAACGGTCGGTATAGACTCCACCTCCGAATGGCTACTACAATAGAATAAATGTTGGATCCAAAGTCTCCTCTTGTTCCAAGCCCATAAATCTTCAAGTTTCTGGGAGTCAGGATGTTACATCTTTGCTTTGCACTCAACTAGTCCAAAGTACCATTTCGACTAGATGACATTGTAAGATTTCTTGTGCTCGCTTCTGGACTATAGTGGTTCAAAGGGCCATTAATCGACTTAACATCCTAGCTCTCGGAGGTTCATGTATGGCTACTATTCAGATCTTCCACACCAAGAACATAATCTTGGTTGCTATTTCATGATTTTCATTTATCGGTTCAATTCCTGAGGCGATGCTTCGCAACATACCAACATCAAGTAAAGTCATGTGAGTCTATCACAGTCTGCCATCATCTGGTCTTCGTCCAATAATTGATGATGTACGAAAGGTCCTTGAAGAGGTAGATAAACCGAAGAAGGGCGGAAAGAAAAGGACTGCGAAAGTTGGACTATCTGACCAAGCTCGAACACCTAAGAAGAAGATAAAGCGAGTGGCTCGTATGCAACAAGCTCTAACACCAAGCAACCAAGACGATTCACAATCCAACACGGTTTTAGAGTTTCCAATGCAAGAGGGTACTCAAAATGAACATGATGATACGACTGCTACGTCTCAACCGCAAGTCTCGCAGCCAATCACTTCTAATCTTGATGTAAATTTTCAAATTCCTAATTCTGTTCCAATCAGTGATGATTTTTTCCATGATTTCTCCGTTCCATCACCTACATCCACTTTCTCTACTTCCAACAATGTTGCTCCTTGCCCACCTGTATCTATGGGATTTTCGCAACAATAAACTGTAACGCCTGTGGATCCGGGCTAGTCAATTTAGAGACACTTAGCGTCAAAAATGAGTTTTTAATGGAAGATTATTTAGAAGGATTAATCTTAAACAAGTTTTAGTATATGTTACAAGGGTTTTGTAAATATAAAGAATGCTGAAATTCGAGTTATAATGAAGGAGTTATGGTCTGTCGAAGTTTTACGACAAAACCGGCACGACACCGGGAGACGTAAATAGTGAATTTACGATAAACTACTTTTTAGCCTTACTGATCTAAACATGAATTTTTAGTATACGTTAAACCGAGAACATACAAAAAAGGAACGCCTAAATCTGACATCGTATGAGGAAGTTATGAATTTTCTAAGATTTAGCATAGTAGTGCATGGCTCGAAACTCGAATTTTAGTTTGAGCGGTTTTTGTCCTATGTGACCTAAATGAGAGTTGAAGATCCCATTAATAGGAACTAAAAAATAAAAAGACAGACGAAAATGGAGTTCGTATGAAAGAATTATATTTTTTTTGCGTTCATTTAACAGTATAATCTCCTCGTACTGTTAAATTTAAGATCGGTCGAGAATTAGCCGACGGAGTCAAAATGAAAGTTGTAGATCATATTTTTACCTACAGATGGATATAAAGAATATAAAAAACGGAGGTCGTATGTGAAAGTTATGGATTTTAGAAGTCGGAAGTGTGTTCTGAGAAAATGGGTAACATGACACAATCTTGGCCATTGCTTTCTCCTCAAATCTTGCGACCATATGGTGACATCTTGCACCAAGTACAGCCATATTTCACCCTATAAGTATAACCTCTCTCACCCTCATTTTCTTCACACCTTTCCCATTCTTTCTTCTCTCTACACTCTCTCTAAACCTCCCAAAACTCCCCTAGTGCTAGAAGAAAGCCCCGGAGCGCTCGACGGCTCCGAGAAGAAAAGCTTTCGGCTCGGAAGCTATACCCCTGCAGAGTCCGACTTCTAGCTAGACCCCCTCATAAGTAAGATACACCTACGCTATTTTAAATATAGTTTTTATTTAAATATATTAATTTTATTAGGACCTTATAATAAATATTTTGGCTATTATTATGAGTTATATAAGTGTCATTATAATATATTTTTAACCACTCGCATGGTTTGGAGGGCCGCTTGGGTTGCTGGATTTCAGAAGGGCTAAATGCCAAAATGATCCTGACCTCCAGTGTTCCATGTCTGAACCTGTCTGTACATAGTAGGTGAAAAGTATTGTGTTAATGCTTATATAATAGTAATAATAGTTAGACTATTAATTAGTCTCATCGAGCATTAGACTAAACTCTAGTGGTAATGATACTAGGCTCTATCAATGGAGTTGTTTAAAGTAAACAAAGTGTCGTCCGAGTGCTGAGTCACCACCTTTTCGAGTGAGTGCATAGTCCCTTTCATCTTACACATAGATATGAAGTATTTTAATATAAATTACGTGCTATGTGTGCATATTGTCTGAATACTTGCTGTCTTTGCTGGGTCAAAGATTTTTATACATGTTTTAAATGATTTAAATTGTATATATGTATTTTATATCTTCAAAATGTGTTGAGTAAAACACAGGTAGATGAAATAGTTGTTGTGTGATAACACGATCAAAGACATCAATATTGACAGTGATCCAGTCATCTAGTGGAATATAGATGATGACCATGGACTATATTAGATAGTCCAATGGAACGCTAGCAGGCTCGTAACTTGTAGGTGTTTTTGAACTAGGTGCTCATTTGGTATTTTGAACTGAGTGTGTTCACTAGGTATTTTTGAACTAAGTGTGTTCACTAGTTTTTTTTGACCTAAGTGTTCACTAGATGTTTTGGACTACGTGTTCACCAATTGAAATCTATAAACCTTGGTAATGATGGACTTCGTGCGAATTCCTTAGGATGATCCTTAGGAATAAATGAACAAGGAATAGCTGATTCTTAGGGTAGATCCTTAAGAGTAAAGAAGATAATGGGGATGGGTAATTGGGTTGATTAATTGTTTGAAGGTTAAACATAATAATTATATTATTGTGGGTTTAAAACCCTATGTACTCACCAGGTTTCCCAACCTGCCCCACTCATTTTATTTACATCACAGGTGTTGATATGAAGTCACATTACACTAAGAGATTATGGAGATATAAATCACTAGTTATAATGAATGTAAGTTCAGTTTATGCTTATGCTTCTGTATTGACAATGACATCCCAAATGTTTTAAAATGAATAAAAAAAATACTTTTCTATGGAAATGCTTTGATAACGTATTTATCATGTTTTACTGGGAACAAATTCCACAACATTTTTATTAAAAGTCGTACTCTGATTTCTATAAAGCATAAACAAAATCAATATTTTCTAGCCGTGAAAATGGGGATGTCACATAAACTACTCGCTCAATCAACCCCATTGTTTATAGATTCAACATCAACTACAACCACTACCACTAATGAACCTACAATGTTTGTCAACCCATCTGATGTGGAGGCAGGTGCTTCAGGTTTCACTCTTGGTCATTCTACACCACCCATCTCACCTCTTCGCCAGGATGATCCAGACACCATTTATGGTGAAGATGAAGAAGATATTGGAAGTTTCACTTACAGTCCATTCAACATTAGGATTAAGAGTGATGACCAAGCTCCAGTCACCCGAGGGCAGTTCAATGCTTTTTTTTTAAAGTTTGAATCCTTAATGAAATCTACCAAGACAACCACTTGTGGTAATTACTCTCAAGAAATTGTCAAAGCGTTCTTTGAAACTTTGACGAAGGAACATTCTACGAACCTTGACAAGACCAATCAAGCAATTGATCCATCAGCCTTTGTGTGTAAAGAAACGATCGAAAAAGTTGATAACCTAATCACTGATGCTTGATCATTTATGAGAAATTTCCCGACATCAATTGAATCGAATACTGCGAAAGAAAATGTAGCCATAAAATGTCGGGGTCCTTCACTTCTAACAGAAGGAAAAGCATGAAGAAGTTCACACTGGCCTCAAATCAGATAACTCTGAGCTCAACTCCTCCGTCTCTTCGAAAATCAATAAGCTTCATGAAGATTTGGAAATGGAGAAGATCATGGATTAGCTTGCAATGAAAACGGAAAAAGTGAAGCTTCTAAATGTTAAGCTGAAGCAAGCTAAAAAGAAGATCAATGAGCTCTTATCTAAAAAAGTTGTCATGAAGGTTCGTTGCAAATGTAAACGCTTTATTCTCTGACATTATTGAGACTCGTAACTCTCTGATCACGATCACAGTTAAGAAGCATTTGGATGAGAAGCTTAGGCCAGTGTTTCAGAGTCCAGCTCACTTCCAAAACAAGGGGGAGCTACCGTGAAGTAATCAAAGAAAGAAACCCTAAAACCAAACTGTAAAGCGAAATTCAGAAAATGAACTGAAGGATAATATAGCTTCGGCTTCAAAAGGCAAAGAGAAACTCTCCGATGAAATAATCGTTGATGAAAGTGAAGAAGAAGAGCCCGATAAGCACGAGCTAAAAAGAAGGATGGCTCGTGAAGCTTAGATCGATGAGCGCAATTGAATTGTGAGAGAGGCAGAAGAAAAAGAAAGAGCATAATGAGAAGCTCAAGTCATATCAGAAAGTTGAAAGCTTTTATTTCCATTGTGGATTTTAGAGCGAATCATGAGAGAGGTTTTAGATCTTCCAAGCGAATATTGGTTAGATCCTGTTGTTTTCTTTGACTTTCATAACACACAGGATTCGCAGCTTGATCTACCAATAACACCAAAGGCATTCAAGTTTCGTAGCTTTGTTATAGTTTCAAACTTTTCTCTGACAAATAGCGGTGCATACCATTTTCTCTTCTCGTTCAACTTAAAGCACATGAAGCCACAATATGAAACCTGGAGTGCGAAGAAGATAACTGTTGTGAAGGTTTTAGGTCTAATTGAAATTGATAGCATCCCAAATGCTCGCTTTAAGGTTGCTAGAGGTTCTACGAGTTAGGTATCCAAATTTACTCTTGCTGAACTACCCTGCATGAACCTGTACGATTGGATTCTATTGTCCAACATGCTACTACAGGATGAACAGATGTATGAACCCGTTGTTGCTTATCTCAAACAAATGTTAATTTCCTACATTCAAGAGATTGGAAAAATGGACGTTGAGATACCGTCCGTTCTGCGAAAGAGGCCATCTGTGCTCCCCAAAGAAGCACCTAGAGATTTTTCTACAATGAAGTTGGAGAAGATACAAAGGATGGATGGTGCGTGGCATTTCAAATAAGACAAAAAAAATTGATGCTGATTTTCACAAGGTTTGCTACCATCTCGCTGATAAGCATCTTTGCACCATTTGAGGGAGTTTACGGCCATAAACGCATGGCATTTCAAACCTCACCTAACCTTGGACATTAACCTAGAATTGTACTTCAATGAATTGGGGACTTGAATCAACGATTTGGCACTTCATGCCATACGTTTATGGCCGTAAACTCATGGGGAAGTGTTTCCCGGGCCGTAAACTGCACACAAGACCATTTTTGGACTTTAAACTCACCCAATCTCTTGTTTAGGCCTTGGAGCACTTAGCCACTTAAGTTGTAGTAGTTTTAGGACTTGTTTGAAGACCCAATTGAGAGTTTACGGCCAGGAGTAAACTCCCCTGGGCCGTAAAATCCAACAAACATGGTCATTTGACCATACACTTCCGTATATGGCCATACACTCCCTTATTGCAACCCAATAGCCTCCTAGCACTTGACCAAAGTGTTTTTCTTTGCATTAGGGTGCTTATACGTGTTTAATTAGTGTTATAATCACTAATTATATGTAAACATCTGTCTTCATATGTTACTAGGTCATTAAGTGTGTTCAAGTCTTCACTTGACACCGAGCACTCAACCAACACTTCCATCTGATCCACTCGCAGCAAGGGAGTTCATACCCCTGAATTAACCTTTTAAATGCTTTTATGGGGGGGGGGGAATACAATTTGAAACATGCTAGTTATCATATCAATCATAGGTGATTAATAATTTGCATGCAAAAGGATTTACTACACTTCCATCTGTTTTACCAATTATATTACTTCAAATGGTTTTCCAAAGCGTAGTTACTTGTTTAGATCTTTCTCAAACTATCCTTTGTGCTGTATGTTTTCCTTCAAAACCGGTTACAATCGTGTTTTTAAACAAAGTTTTTCTTCACCTAAATTGTTTTATCAAATCAATTTTAAAGCTTGTTTATAAAAGGTTTCCCAAAGGTTTTCAAAGCTTGTTTTACAAAATGACATCAAGTCATAAATTCTTATTTGTAAAGATTTTCCAAAAGTTTTACCAAAGTTTTCTTCTATAATTTTTTTTCGTTAAATGCATGCCTATATTTGTATAGTTATATAAATAATGTTTAAAGGACTTAGAACGGCTAGTTTTCCCTATTTCCTTTTCCTCGTTGGGATGTGGTCTGGTGGGTATCGGTTATCTTTCTGAAGGTCGTTTACTTATTAGTTATATATGATGTATACATGTATAGACATAAAGGTTTCCATCAACCAGTTCATTTCCTTAACTAGTACGGGCATCCTTATATTTTTCATATTTCTAGAACCCTAGTAACTATTATAGGAATAGTTAGGAGATTCTCTCTCTCTCTCTATATATCTCTCTCTCTCTCTCTCTCTCGTACGAAGATTTACTCAGGAGTCAGTTCATTTGCGAGTCTATATTATTACTATAATAATTCAGAATGTGACACAGCATTCCCCTCTACGATGCCTTATAGCGCCATCACCGTGTAACCAGAGTCTCCAGGAAGGAGAGAGAACATCATGTGTATAGATCTATACGGGACTGACACTCTCACACGTAGACTACTAGCTACAGTCCGTGCCGGTAAGGCCCATGGGTGACATAATGCCACTACCTCTACCCGTGACCTAGAGGGTTGTCGGATACTCTATCGTCGATCAGCATGGTTACATACGAGTTCACATTCACCCTTTGTTTTAGACTTTGCTAGCTGTATTGTTCATTTGATACTATCTGGAGTCTGTGCCTCCTTGTGTTAGACTGAGCAAGGCGTATCATTCATATGGTACTCTCCTGGAGTCTATGTTTGCATTTGATTTATTCATCAGTATTACTATTGAGGTATATGTTATTTTCCCCTAGTATTTTTACTTGTGTTTTAAATGCTTTTATGGGGGGCGGGGGATACAAGTTGAAACATGCTAGTTATCATATAAATCATAGGTTATTAATAACCCGCATGAAAAAGGATTTACTACACTTCCATCTGTTTTACCAATTATATTACTTCAAATGGTTTTCCAAAACGTAGTTACTTGTTTAGATCTTTCTCAAACTATCCTTCGTGCTGTATATTTTCCTTCAAAACCGGTTACAACAATGTTTTTAAACAAAGGTTTTCTTCACTTAAACTGTTTTATCAAATAAATTTCAAAGCTTGTTTATAAAAGGTTTTTCAATGGTTTCCCAAAGGTTTTCAAAGCTTGTTTTACAAAACGACATCAAGTTGTAAATTCTTATTTGTAAAGATTTTCCAAAGGTTTTACCAAAGTTTTCTTCTATGCTTTTTTTTTCGTTAAATGCATGCCTATATTTGTATAGTTATATAAATAATGTTTAAAGGACTTAGAACAGCTAGATCGCCCTATTTCCTTTTCCTCGTTGGGATGTGGTCATGTGGGTATCAGTTATCCGTCCGAATGTCGTTTAATTATTAGTTATATATCATGTATAAATGTATAGACATAAAGGTTTCCATCAACCAGTTCATTTCCTTGAGTAGTACGGGCATCCTTCTATTATTCATGTTTCTAGAACCCTAGTAACTATTATAGGAATAGATAGTAGATTCTCTCTCTCTATCTCTCCCTCTCTCTCTCTCTCTCTCTATCTCTCTCTCTCTCTTTCTTTCTGGAGTACGAAGATTTACTTAGGAGTCAGTTCATTTGCGAGTCTATATTATTACTATAATACTTTAGAATGTGACACAGTATTTCCCTCTACGACGCCTCATAGCACCATCGACGTGTAGTCAGAGTCTCCGGGAAGGAGAATGAACATCATGTGTATAGATCTATATAGGACCGATACTCCCACACCCAGACTACTAGCTACAATTCGTGCCGGTAAGGCCCATGGGTGACATAATGCCACTACCTCTATGCATGACCTGGAGGGTCATCGGATACTCTATAGTCAATCTGCATGTTTACATACGCGTTCACATTCACCCCTTGTTCTAGACTTTGCTAGCTGTATCGTTGATTCGATACTATCTGGAGTCTGTGCTTCCTTGTGTTAGACTGAGCTAGGCGTATCATTGATACGGTACTCTCCTGGAGTCTATGTTTTCATTTGCTTTATTCAGTAGTATTACTGCTGAGGTATATGTTATTTTCCCCTAGTATTTTTACTTGTGTTTTTCTCATAATTCCTTTAAAGTCAATACTGTATTTTGGTAATGATAGTATTTTGGGGGAAATTACTCCTTAAAAACATAAATTTGTTGGGTCTTGGTAGAAGGTTGCTTTTATTTAGAAAATATAGGATTTTCTTGAAAGAACGCTAATACACCGTAGATTCTAGATTACTCCCGGGAGCTTTTGCGAAGACAACCTAGTACGAAGCTGCATCCATGTTATGTTCAGTATTTACTTTGACGTTATTGTATAATGTAACCTATGTAAAATTATTACTATAAATGCAATGGTTGTTGTACTTTGATTACTATACTGCATATGTTGGGATACTTGACATGACGTCATCCACCTTAGAACGTTTCCGCCATTCCGGTTTTGGGGTGTGATAGATTGGTATCAGAGCATTGTTTATAGTGAGCTCAGTATATCAATTCATAAAAGATATACAGCCTATAAATACAT